ATTTCTTCCAAGGCAGATTGGTTTGTCCTTTTAGCTGACCAGGATACATTAACTATTATTCTCACAATTCAAATGCATAGATTCTTCTTCAGTTTTCTTTTTCAATGTTCAAATTTCACATGCGTATGAGGCAATTAAAAATACAAAGGTTTAGGCCAGGCACATTTTATTCTTCAAAGTAATATCCTTGTTTCTCAAAACTTTAAAGAGGCTTTGTGCAGCAGATTTACCCAATTGGTGCATCCTTTGATTTCTTGACTATTGTTTCTATGAGCATTGCTTGTAGATCCAAGCAAAATTAAATATTGACAAACGTCAATCTTTTCTCCATTTGTCATGATGCTTCCTAGTGGTCCAGTTGTGAGGAGTTTGCTCTTTTTTACATTGAGTTGTAATTTATACTAAAGGCGTCAATCTTTCATCAAAAGTGCTTCAAGTCCTCCTCACTTTCATCAAACAAGGTTCATTATCTGCGTATCACAGGTAGATGCTAAGCCTCTCTCCAATTCAGATATCACATTCTTCTTCATATAAGTCAGGCTTCTCTGATTATTTGCTCAGTGTACAGATTGAATAGGTATAGTGAGAGGATACAACCCTGACTTGCACTTTTCCTGATTTTAAGCCATGCAGTATTCCCTTGTTCTTTTGCCCAGCTGCCTCTTGATCCATGCATTAGTCTGGGTACTTTAGAGAAACAAATCCACAGAAACTCATGTATAGGAGAGAGTTTTATATAAAGGTTAACTGCATCAAGAAAACATCCTAACCCAGTGCTGCCCAAGCCCACAAGTCCAACATTCATCCATTAACCCATATGTCCAACACCAGTCCACAAAGTTCTCCTCCATCTCACAAAGCATACACAATGATGCCGACTGCAGGAGGAAAGCTAAATCAGTGAACGTGTAAACCTCTCAGCACTGGCAGGAGTCTCTACATGGCTGCTCCAGCACCCAGGGCTGCATCGGGGCAGGTCCATGAGGCTTCTTGGGGATGTCTTGCAGGAAGTCAGCCTTGCTAGCAGAAGCAGGGAACTGGCTAAGGCAGCTGCACCCTGGACCGACCATCAGAAAGCATGAGACCCAAGAACTAGAAAGGCAAGGCTCACCGAGCCATTTATGCCTCTGTGCTTTAATTAACTCCACATGTGTTTATAAGCCAGGTTGGCACAATAAACTAACTAATTCAATCCATATACAAGTTCCTCATGAGCACAGTGAAATGTTCTGGAATTCTCATTCTTCTCAAGGCTATCCATTGTTTGTTATGATCCACATAGGTATATGTATTAGCATAGTCAATAAAACACAAGGAAACATCTTTCTTGTACTCTCTGCTTTTGGCCAAGGTTTATCTGACACCAGCAATGATGTCCTTTGTCCTCTTATGAATCCAGCCTAAACCTTTGGCAATGACCTGTCAATGGACCATTGTTTGGTGATCTTCAGCAAAATGTTACTTGCATGTGATATCAATGATACTGTTCTATAATTTGAGCATTCTGTTGGGTCACCTTTCTTCGGAATGCATACAAATACGGTTCTCTTCCAGTCAGTTGGCCAAGTAGCTGTCTTCCAAATTTACTTGCATAGATGAATGAGTGCTTCCAGGGCTTCATCAGCTTGTTGAAACATGTTAGCTGGTATTCCATCAGTTTTTGGATCCTATTTTTGACTAATGCTTTCAGTGTTGCTTAAGATTCTTCCTTCAATACTATCGATTCTTATTGGTTTTTGCTCATATGCTGCCTCCTGAAATGGTGGTACAGTGACTCCGTGTATTCCTTCCATCTTTGGATGTTCCCTGCATCACTCAATATTTTATTAATAGAATCTTTCAATATTACAAGTAAGGGCTTGAATGATATTTTTAGTTCTTTCAGTTTAAGATATGTTACATGTGTTCTTCCTTTTTGATTTTTTCCAATTCTTAGTCTTTGCACATTTCATTATAATATCTTACTTTATCTTCTCTAGTTGCCATTTGGAATTGTCTATTCATCTCTTTGACTTCAACATCTCTTTCATGTGTCTTAACTAGTCTACATTTAGAAGGAAGTTTCATATCTCTTCTGACATCCACGTTGATCTTTATTTTTTCCTGTCTTTCTAATAATATTTTGTTTTCTTCATGGATGGTGTTCTTGATGTTCTTATCCTATCTTCTGTCATTAGTTTTCTTTCCTTCTTATTTTTAAGTTTGACTATACATCACTAGTTTTCAGTGCATCAAGTATGCTCTTGAGATGTTCTCAAAATTCATATTTAGAGCCAAAATATTTTGACTCTTGTGGATTTGCTTTAATGCATAGCATTTCATTTTTGATAACAACTTTGTGTAAACAGAGCAAAATGTTTCCCAGTCCTGCACCATCTGTAGGATCATTGATATGTTTGAGTAATTGTTGAGGATATTGTGTCGATGGGTCTCATTGAAGGGTTCCTTCGTTTTCATTGGTCTTCTGCTAAATATGATGTCCTTTTCTAATAAGTGTCTGTAATGATGACATATCCAAAGTAAGCATATTGGCATCTCACCATGCATGCTTCTAAGGATATTTTGGTTGTTTTGCCTCTGACACAGATTTGTGGATTCTTTTCACTATCCACAGTATGTATACTCATAGTCTTTGTCAACACCACACTTGGAAAACTTTAGTATATCCAAGGTGGATTGGCTAATAATTGCTGGCCTAAAATTTTAACCAACAATTTATGATGCTGAGCCCACTGTAGTTGGGCTACATTCATGTCTTTCAGGCTTATACCTGAATTCTGTACCTGCAGATTGGTGAATCCCCAGTACAGAAATAGAGTGTCTGTAATTTACATGGAATAGCTATGATAAGACACTTCCTGAAAAGTATTATGTAAAAGAGCAGAGCTAAGAATGGTAGCCTATGTGAACCATGGCCTATTTTACCCTGAGACCAGAAGAATTAGATGGTGCCTGACTACCATCACTGATACTTCTAACCAGGTTCACAATAGTTGTTCTCAGGTGGTAGAAAAAATGTAGAATAAAATTAAAATTAAAACACAAAACAAACAGACTAAATTATCTAAGACCAGAAACCTTGAGACCATTGCCCTGACACATTCTTGAAACCTTGAACTAAACTATCTCCTGAGATCCATGTTTAGCAATATAGCTGAGCGGTACATGAGCTAAAGAATATTATTATTCATAAGAACAGCATTCTACTGAAAAACCATCTGTATGAGACCAAAAGGCCAAAGATCAGGATATAAGTGGGCAGGGAATCTAGAATATTGGAAATGCAGCAGTCAGAACATAATAAAGAGAATGCTGACACACTGTGAAACATGAAACTAACGGCATGGAACGACTTTTGTGGAAATTATCAAATAGGAACCTAACTTTTAGTATAAACGTTAACCAAAACCATAACAAATATTTGTTTTCAAAAAGAAGGTAGGTTCCTGTCCCAAAATATCAAGTTTCAAGTTCTCACCTTCCCAACATATCCTTTAGGATTAGAATCTTGGAGGTCAGAAGGCTTTTGTATTCTAAGAGTTCAAGTTCTCATGTGCCTGCGTGCATCTCTGTGTCCATGTATGTGGGTGCTTTAGAGACCATTATGCCTTTAGCTATTGTCAGCCAGATAGTTCCCATTTCAGCTATGATTAATTCATGAACCGATCCTGAAGGTGAAATACTCCCCTTCTGGGGCAAGAAGAGGTGGAAGGGAGGGGAACTGCGGTAAAGTTAGCCACAGGAAGTCACCCTCTCCCCTATTAAATTGTCTGCTGGCACACATTGATACAAGTGCAGTCTGGGAGCTGACAGCAATGAAAAACTCTTTAACCATGTTGGGGAGAATGGTTTGCTTACTTTGCATCCATGAAAGTGAACGCAGTTAGGGCTGTGGTTTGCGCTTGAGTTGAAAGGCAGTTTGGGAAAAGGTGGTTTATATTATTCATTCTAAGTTTGATATTGCTACATCATCAGCTGCTTACTGTTTCTGGTTTCTTCCTTTTCTGCTACAAATAGACTAAAAATTTCCCCCATCCTAAAGAGAATGCCTTAAGCTATAAATTTATCTCCCGTTTCCATCATTTTCAAACCCTTGGGAGATCTTGTACCATTTTCCCACTTTCTTACCTCTTGTGTTAGTTCAGGTTCACTAGAGAAACAAATTCATACACACTCATTTGTGTATAAGAAAGAGCTTTTATATCAAAGAATAATTGTATATTAAGAAAACATCCCAGCCTTGTCTAGATTAAGTCCGTGCGTAAGTCTAATATTAACCCATGTGTCCGATACCAGGCTATGGCTTTCCAGAATACTCAGAAGAAGGCCACGCCCACACAGAGGTACCATTGACTAGACCTGACTGACAGACTCCACCCCTTCACTCAAGTTGACAGGAGATTATGT